CTCCCCCCCCCCCCTTTTATATCTGTTGTTCTTGTCAATGTACTGTATCTGGTGTGACCAGAATTGGTGAAGGGAATACACTTTGCATGCTGTGTGTGTGTGTGTACACACAAACACAAAACTTAAGGTGTTCTTAAACATAATGTTATATTTATATAATACTTGTGTATAAAAAGACATACAAACATGCTTAAAATCCTAGATTGGGTCCACATATCAATGTTTTACGTGTTCAGCCTTTAACACCTCCAAAAGTAAGGAACACTTCCCTTCTAGATGGGATGATGTCTGCATTGCAAAGTGTTGCCAGGTGGTTAGTCATTTTAGTCTAGTCAGGCAGACAGTAGGGCAGTGTGGCATCTTAGTATTTGAGTGGCATGAGCTTTAGTAGGCAACAACCTACTTCACCAGGTGCTGCATCTAATGAAGTGGGTTGTTGCTCTTGCCTCTCGGAGGTGTTATCTGAGGCGTACTGCACCTGCTTTTCCTTCTGCCTGACTGCATACTGGCAAGTGCCTTGCTAAGCCTGGTGTAACACAGGCACAAAGCAGATGCGTTGTCGGACTTCAGGATGGGGTGTCCCCTTCGTGTCAAGGTGCTTGGTGCGCTCGTGGTTCTGCTTCCTAGTCCAGTGAATGCCAAATTAAGCGAACAAATTCAGGACAGTGTCGCAGTGATGTGAGTTTGCATTGCTGCCACTGAAATGGTGGGTCTTTGAGCATTCCCTCCAGGTGGTCCCCCAAGACTGCATGTACTCCTGTGACTGGGGAGCTGTGTGCTAGGAAGACGTTCTTGGCTTCACAGAGCAGGGATTAGTCTGGCAGCACAGAGCAGTCTGTGAAGGAAGCGGTGGACTAAATGGTGAGCAAAGTGATACCAGTGCCATTCTGCTCCCGGGGAGGGGAGGGACAGAGTTGTGAGGAAAGAATGGGAACAGTAGTGATGCCAGGGGAGAGGTACATGTGTGACCCCCATGATTTGAGTCTGCTGCAAAGTGGCTGAATAGAGGGGGAGGTGGAGCCCAGGTGGCTTCACACCTAGAACCTGAGCAGGATTTACAAGCTCAGGCTGCAGTTCTTGGGAAGCAGGTTCAGGGTTTGGAGTGTGGCTGATGACGTACAGGCAGCGACCTGAGCCCCCAGCACATAGATCACTTGCTGCCTGAATAAAGCCTTGGGAGCCTGCTGGGTTTCCTTGTATTTTGTTCATTTACTGCTGTTCCTGAGCACTGACTTGTAGTGCATGAGATTACAGCCCAGGACTGCCAGCTAATATGTGTTCAATTTCTGTTAAATAGGCTAATATTTTTTGGAGGTTACGGCTACTTTCCTGAGGAGAAGCAACGGGGAACTTTTGAATTTGATGAAACTTCTTTTTGGGTGAGTACCTGCGCGCGCCCCCCTCCCCCAAAACAAAAAACTCCTCCCATTTAACATGCTGGAAACTTGTCTTCTGCTTGTGCACTTCACAAACAGAAGACAAAGGAGAAGTGTTCTCTCAAAATGTAATGTTCTTCTCAATATCAATTTTTCTAAGAATTCGGGTCATCCCAGAGGCTGGAACGACCATGTACACGTTCTGGACACTGAAACGTTCACTTGGAGCCAACCGATAACCACAGTAAGTGCTTTTAAAAAAGAAACCTGACATGAAATCACAGCTGTGCAGCAGAACTGGTTTTTGTCCTGCTATTTTCAGGGCCTCCACTAGCTTCAGAGAGAGGCAACTCCCATGCAAATGTCTGTCGGCTGCTAGGGCTGTATTCCCGAACACTTCTTGGTTGCGCTTCTATCCTAATTAAGATGGAGAGAGGCTGCCACTCGGAACTCTCCGTGGATACATCCAGGGCCTCCTAGCAGTGGCCGGCTTCAGTAGTAGCTTTGAGTGGCTGACTTTGCTCTGAAGTGCCACTTCTGCATTGGATTCCAGTCACTTGCCGGGCTCCCTCTGTTTTATTCCTTACCTCTCCACTTCCTGTAGTCCTTTGGCCCGAGGGTCCCATCGCACAGTTGAGCTCTAGCTCTGCTTGGTGCTTCTCTGGTGTTTTGCCTAAGGAGAGACAGGCAAAGGCTGTTTGCCACTAAGAAGTGTTTGAAATCCCTGGGAAATCGGTTCCTGCCCATGCCCCCTGTCCTCTTGCCCTACCCTACACCATGTGTGCATGCTACCAGTGTCCTAAGCGGTCAGAGGGCAGTTTTCTCGAGCCTGTCAGTGCTGCTTGCGCAGGAGGCTGCTTGCACTTCTTTGCTAAGCTCTCTGGTGCTGGCTGCCTCAGTTGTAGGGTCCTGAACTGGAGGGATCTTGGGCCTCAGCCAGTCTGCCGATTCCTGCGTTCCATTTTGATGAGTTGGAGGGATTGCTGTGCAGTGACTTAAAGCACTCGTTCACAGCCAAGGCAGGCTGAATGCTCTGTTGCTTCTGCACTGTTACAAGTGTCGGCCGTTCCTGTTGCACTTCCTGGAACGTGCAGTGTTGCTATGGCCTACTGCAAGGAATGGGCACTGGTCTTATGGTTGGCATGAAACTGGATGTCAGGGGATCTGGATTCTGCTTCCAGCTCGACCAAACACTGGGGCTGCGCAAGTTCTCTTTGTTTTCTCTACCTCACTTTTCCTGTCTGTGAAACTGAGATTGTTGCTCTCTCACACAGAGATTCTGCCAGGCTCTGAGTCTGTAAGGGGCTTTGTCCTTGTGAAGAAAAGCACTGTATAGGTGCTTTGAAGCACCGTCGGTAGGACGAGCCTGGAAAGTTCTCCTTACATATGCAAAGGGTTTTTTAATTTAATTACAGTTTTTTAGCACATCAGTGGAATTCAGCTTTCATTGCAATGTAGCAGATATATCCCAGCTCCTCTCCTCCAGGAAGTGGGACGCTTGCTGTCTGTTTGGGCTCCCTTGTTATATCTCCTCGCTTCGGTTTTTTCCACTGTTTTGCTTCCCCTCCCACGCAGGCATTGTGATCTTGGAAGGGCAGTCAGCAAAGTGGAATTCGTACAAGCTGACGGCTCGGGAGAGTTTGGGAATTTCACTTTACTCTGATCCTCTTTATTGTTCTTCACTATGATTCAGCAGCAAAGAAGATGTCTGTGAGCTGTGATTTCACACAGTGGACATTTTAAAGCAGTCATTCAGTTGAGGAGCAAACAAATACCAAGGAAGTGAAACCTGGTTTGAAATGGGAAGGCTTCTTATTTTGATTGCGCTTAAAACACTTTACCTCTGTCTCAAAAAATCCCGGAAATAAATGCAAGATAAATTAGTTGATGATTCATCACTTCACTCTTTCAAGTAGGTCTGAGAGTTCCCAGTAAACATCCCTGACGGTCTGCATCTTGCTTCGATGCAGGACTCAATAGTAGGGTTACTATATTTCCAGTTTCAGAAAAGAGGACACCTGTCAAGGGAGGGACGGGGGTGGTATGATTGTTGGGGGCAGTGATATGCACGTGCCCTGCTCCTGACCCTCGCTGCCAGCCCACAGTACCTCATCCCCCAGACCGTGCTGGTACCCCTCGCTCCGACCTACAGCTCCTGGCCCTGCCAGTGCCCCACGCTCCTGACCTGCTGCTCCTGAAGAACCCTCCCATCCCCCTCCCCCACTGGAGGGGTAGGCACCTCCCCCGACTACCCGCCCTGCTGCAGCCCCAGTGCTGGCAGGTGCGTGTGTGCACGCACCTCCTCCCCCAGCCCTGGCCCTCCACCCCCTGCCCCCTACAGACTTACCTGCCTGCAGCTGCTGGGGCCACACACAGATGCATGTGATGCCCCTGCTTCCAATCGCCCTGCCCCACTCTCCCCAGCCCCAAGCAGCTCCTTGCTGGGGCAAGCCAGGAAGTGCCAGGAAAAACTTTGAAGTTGAGTGGGGACAGAGAAAAATCCCAGATGTTTGATATTTAAAAAAAAACACCGGGACGAAGATGGGAGGATCCAAAAACAGAGAACCTGGGCGTATGGTAACCCTACTCAATAGTCTTAAGGCTTTAAGGAAAAAGCAACCCTTCTTTTTCCTTATTAATCTCTTTTCCAGCTTCATGTACCCACACCCACCATTGCAGACCAGGGCTAACCTACCGTTTCTGTGCCCACGGGCTGGTTGTTGGCCTGTGGGAAATGGCATTCAGTTACATTTCAGATGTAAATGACATTTCCCTTCTAAAGGGATCAGAGGTCTCTGACGAGGTGTCATGCCTCAGAGCTGTGCTGCCGCTTGGGGAATGCTGCCAACCAAGTCTTCCTTTTCATTTTGCCGTCTCCTGTTACAGGGTAAAACACCTTCGCCTCGGGCAGCCCATGCCTGTGCTACTGTTGGGAACAGAGGTTACGTATTTGGAGGCAGATACCGAGTAAGTGTGAGGACAATCTTACAGCTTTTGCTTCTGAATCCCTAAATTGAGTGCTTCAATTGATTCTTCTTTTTTGTTTTAGGACTCTAGAATGAATGACCTTTATTACCTTAACTTGGACACCTGGGAATGGAATGAAACGTAGGTATCAAAACTTTCCAACTGGCTCTTTAAGCTAACATGTAACTGAATAAGCACCCGTGCTTTTTTACTGGAAAAGTGACTCTAATAGAAATTCAGAGCATTTACGATCCTTTATGCTTTGCTTCCAGAGACAGACCCGAACTTGGCTATGCTCCGTTACGTTTTTCTTTACTTATTAGTCTCTCTTTTAAATTATCTGAATAAACAAAATACTTTCTTGCTGCCAGCTGCTCACCAGTTGCCATTAGGAGACTATCCTCATTGATTTAGTTTGATATCTTCAAGGATTCCTTCCAGAAAGTCTGACCTGACATTTAAAAACTGAGCTGTGCACCCTAAACAAGAACTTTGAAGCTGTTGCTAGTAGTTGATCACAGTACTTCACAGCACTAAAGCACGCGGATGATTAAATACCTGAAAAATTAAAAAAAAAAAAGGGAGGAGGGGCTGTTTTTCATTGTAGCTAGCCTTTAATGTGCAGTGCTTTTGTTTGAATGCAGCATTACACAAGGTATTTGCCCAGTAGGCCGATCCTGGCATTCTTTAACGCCAATCTCATCAGATCACCTCTTTCTCTTCGGAGGATTTACCACCGATAAGCAGCCACTGAGTAAGTAGCTCCAGGAAACTACTTTTTTTTTGTCTCAGTCTGAGCAGTTGCATGTATAAACTCTGGTTCAACTGCAGACTCTCTGCCAGCAGTGTAATACCTGGCCATTACCTGGTGCCTTCCACCTCAAGAATTAGCAGAAGTCCAGTTATGGGAGAAACGGAGGCACAGGCAAGTGAATTGCCCAAAGTTATCCAGCAGACAGTGGCAGAAGCAGGACTCAGACTCTGCTGTCCTGAGTCCCAGCTGTTGACTACACAGCATGTTCTTAAGGGCCATTGTTGCTGCAGTGTTGTTAGCCCCCGAGAGGCCACGTTGCGCTGCTTCCGGCTTGGGAAGCTGCCTGCCTGGAGCAGCGCTGGGTTCTGAGGCATCGTTCTGGAGCTCAGCATCTTCGCCAGGGAGGCAAAGCCTGTGAGCTCTTCACCCACCACCATCAAGCTCAGCAGGTCCCTCCTCGGGCCTGTGAATTAAGCTCTCAAATCAAGTTACACATTGTGCTCAGTTTTTAGTTGGGCTTTTCTCTTAGGTGATGAAGAGCTGGTAAATGTCCCAGCCAATTTTAAAATCCTTCCGAAGCAGGTAATGCAGGCTGAGACATGAGACCTTCCCTTACTAGAACCAGTTTGCTGACAGTATGGAATAACACTCTCAATGTTACTGTAGGCTTTGTTGGGCAGGCTGTAAGGGGTAAACCGCCCCAGGGGTGGTATGCGAGCCTGTTTGGGAGTGGACTGAATCTGCACAGTGGAAGCAGCTCCTGGGAGGAATTGGGGAGGTCTGGAATAGCTGAGAACGGGGGAGGCTCAGAGCAGTGACTGGCTGTACTTGCTGGCTAGCTCAGCTCTAGGCAGGGTAAGAGAAATAAGATAAACTGTATTTATGGAGTAAAAACAGTTTAGGCACCACACCTCATCTGCTTGGTACCTAGCTGGTTAGTAAACACACAGTTCAGCTGGATGTGAGAGGACCGGTGATTGGACTAAAAGCGCATCCATATGCGTATTAGGCCTGCCGGTTGGCCATTCCTTCTGCTGGCCAGCCTGGCTAACGGTGCTAAAGCTGGCTGGATTATGCTTGTTGCATCTCCTTGCAGTGGGAGCTGACCACCCTGCGGAGCAACATCAGTTACTGGTTGTAAGAGCAGGTGCTGTTTAGAGGGTAACGATCATAGTAAAAATTACCGTCAACAAGGGTGTGCAAGTTCCCCCTGCGCCCTGGTAAACGTCAGCCATTACCAAGGACGAGCTTTCACGCAGCCGGCAGGGAGTCTGCAGTTTGTCAGGTTGGATGCTGACGACATGCCCAAATCTATGCTCGGTTTGGCAGCGGTGACACCTTTGGTGTTGTGTCTTTTTGTTCTCAGGTGACGCTTGGATTTATTGTATCAGCAAGAATGAGTGGATACAGTTTGAGCATAACTATTCGGAAAAACCAAGGTAAGGGGTTGTGTGTGGGGGCTTGTCGTTGTCTTGAGTTGCGCAGACCAGCGAGGCAGCCTGGCATTAGTACAGAGCGAGCCCCGAGTCCCACGTGTATCCCAACACCCCCGTGTTCAGACATGATGCATCAGATGAGCAGCAGCTTTCCGAAGGAAGCGAGTCGCTGCTGCCAGAGGCAGACCTGAATGTCTGTTGAGAGGATTCTGGTGATTCATGAGCAGTCAGTACCGCTCGCTTAGATGCCTGTATTTCCACAGGCTGCCAGTAAGAATTTATGCAGGCAAAACTGCCCCTAAGTTTGGAAATAGAAAAACAAGGCAAGGGAAGCTTCTTACCCTCATCCCTAAGCTACGCCCTAGGCCTCCTTAGAGTCCCACTGGTGTTTTTGTCAGAGATCGGCCACCCTGCTGGTTCTGCCAGCCCTGGGTGCTGAGGACCCTGGACTGTCGCTGGCCATGGGATCACCCAAATGACTCCAGCTCTAACCTGGCCAGTCTCTAAAAAGCCTCAGAGCCAGCCCCCCCTCATCAGCATGATCTGTACCAGGCACTAACGCCTTGCTGAAATGTTTTGGAAGGGACCACAGTTCTGAGCGCTACCGGGCTTAAGCCAACCACTCTTGGATACTGGGATAGACAAAGTGGCGCGCGTCACAGGAAGCGGGCTGAGGCACCCAGAGCACTTTTACATGTGCTCTGGGGATGGTGGGGGGAGAGGGGCGGCGCTTTAATTGGAGCGACCCTGAGAGCCACTCTCATTGAAACACTGCCACGTCTTGTGTGTCAGCATCTCCACACTTAAAAATGGTGGCGGGGGTGCTTGAATGACAGCTCGTTTGACAAGCTTTAGATAAAGTGCCCCCAGCACCATTTTCAAGCATGCGGGAATGCTGATACATGAGCTGCAGGAGGCTGGCAGAGCGCGGCAATTGCCACACTCCAGCGGACTCTGTGCTCGGGCGTAGGTGTCCCTAACGCCGGCCTAGGTGTTGGACACCAAATCTGCCTGGATTGTGTGCGCTGCGGGATACCGCGCTCAGGATAGGCAGTGGGAAAAGAACTTTGTCGCTGGCGATCGGATTGGCAAATGTTGCCCTGGTGTGCCGAGCTAACCCACCTTGTGTTGCGGCACTTTGAACTATTGGTCTTCCTGTGGGGTTCGGAAACTTGGATTAAGTACTTAAAGTTGTGGCAGCAAACCTCGTGTAGTGTAACGAGTTACAGACTAGCTGTTAAACAGATCAGCATCCAAGCGCAGCTTCTCGAGCCCACCAAGACAGCACTGCCTGACTGCGTGCGGTGTTTTTGAGCTGCTCGGCCCTGCTTCGCTTTCTCGCCCAAGTAACTTAGAGAGCGCACACGCTCGGTTAGAGGAGGGCTGTCCTGCCCGGTGCAGTGCTAAGTATTCATGAAGTGAGCCTGAGTCGAACCTCATGTTTGCATTTTACGTTTTAGCATTCTTCTGTAATGGCTGATGTTGCCTTTTGCCTCTCCCCTGTCATTTGCAGGCTGTGGCACACGGCTTGTGCCAGCGAGGAAGGGGAGGTGATCGTGTTCGGTGGCTGTGCCAACAACTTGCTTGCCCACTCCAAAGCGGTAAGTCTGGCTGTTTGCCTGTCAGAATCCGGCCTGCG